TATTAAAATATATTACCCATTTGGAGTAAATGACATTTCAACATTTGCTTTAATAAAAGTGTTAATGGACAAGTGTGGTAGTTTTTTTTTTTTTTTTAATTGAAGAATACAATTTTAAAGCCTTTCTAAAAACACAATTTGAATATCTAAGTTGTTAATAACACTGGGCTAAAAATTTTATTAAGTTGAAATTTGTATAACAAAGTTAACCATTAATTATCTTAAACTACACAGTTCAGTGTATATATTTCACATATTTATATATGAAGATCTATCCCTTCTATCTAGTTTCAGGACATTCTCATCCCTCAGAGGGAAGCTGACACCTCTTTCAGGGGTGGGGGACCTTTTTTCTACCAGGAGCCATTTGGATATTTATAATAATTTGAGGGTCATACAGAATTATCAGCTTAAAAATTAGCCTACTATATTTGGTTAAATTAACTCACCTGTAACGCCTTGTCAGTGTCAGGCCAAGTGATTTTGTGGGCCACCCCTTTCATTAGGTAGTCAGTGCACATCTTCCCTTCCCTCCCTTCCCTCTCCTCCCAGCAACCATTAGTCTGCCTTCTGTCTGTGTTATTTGTTCTGAAATGTTTGGGTTTTTTTCAACACTATATCATTATGCAAGTTTACTTTTTCTATATTATTAGTATCTTAGTATTAGATGAATATAATATAATTAACTGGAATGTGATTATAATATGATGGACTCCATTGATTTTGATTCATAATACTTGTTAGCCAAAATTGGGAAATACCTGCTTTACTAAATGAATGCCACATTGATTAGAAGTTCTGAAGCTTGCAAAGTGATTATGAACCTGTGGAAGTTTTCTCAAATTACATAATGGAACTGGCATTTTATTATTTTCTTGCTTCAATTAGGGTATATATTTTTTTTTGGTTAAAATTTAATCTTATTTTGCTAACCCTTATTAAAACATTTTTGCTTATTTTATGGAGTTTTCTTTGAATAGCAACAATATTTAGACTAAGATATATTCATGTGTAAAAAGGGATTTTTTTTTTTTTTTTTACCAGACTTAGGATGTTTTCAGGAATTATTTTATTAAGCAATACAAAAACATTGGTTAATTTTGAATCCTGTTAAGTAGAGAAAGTACATCAGTTGTTGAAATAAAGATTAATTTTTATCTCCCAATTCTCTCACCTGTATAGCCAAACCTATATTATTTATCTGCCCATTTAGCACTTCTGTGTCAGATTCAGAAACTTCGGTGTTTGAAAGTTACATTTCTTTTTTGTAATAGCACTTCTAATTTGTTGGTTTATTACTTCAACAAATATGTATTGAACTACATATAAGGCACTGGTCTTATATTAATGAACATAACAGATATGATCCCAGCATACAACCTATTGGAGTATTCAGTGAATAAATAATGAATATATCGCTATACTTTACATTAAGTGCAATGAAGGAGACAAACTGGGGGCAGTAGTAAATAATAGGAGGAGTGGAGGAGTGGTCAAGGAAAGCTTCTCTAAAAAAAGTGTCATTGAAGCTGAGATGCCACATCTACCCATTGCTCCAGCTTGGGAGTTTCCCCCAGCTCTTCCCTCTCACCCTCACATCCTATCTTCTGAATTGCTCTCAAATTTGGGCCCTCTTCACTCTCTGTCACTGCCCTAGGTCAGGCCTTCAACATTTCTTATGAAAATTATTAGGTTACTTTTGTAGTTTGAGCCCAATCTGCTACCCTTTCTTAGTTCATTCTTTCCACTGCTACATCACCTCATCCAATAATCTGAGAACACTTAAAGGCCCTCACATGTTATATTCTCTCTAGCTTCTGTGCCTTGGTATTATCTGTTTTTTTCATCTCCTGTTTCCATCTAGCTAACTCTTTTTCCTTAGCTCAAGTGTCAGCCTCCAGGAAGCCTTTCTCTCCCTGGTTGATTTAGTTACAGCTTTCTCACAGCACTTATCACATTGGATGGTAATTGTTTTTGTATTTGCACATTTTTGATATGGCAGATTTTGTTCTTATTTTATATTCAAGTTAGAGTGCTTAATACAGTGTTGGTAATTGGGTCTTGATTCCTTTGAGAATTTTATGGAAGTTACAGACCTTTTTCTTGAATGATGCATTTACATGCAAAAAATTTTGTGCCAGTTTTAATCCATCCATTGATTAGGTAAGAATCCCTGCTTCAGAGAGTCTTTCTCGTCCTCAGGCACAGGCTGTTGTCATTATGGCTATTCCTTTGTGTTTTGATACCTGTATTTTCTTCCTGCCTCTAGGTTGTTGCCTGCACAGTTTTAATTTTGGCATTTTTTTAATAGGCTTGATTCCTATCTCTATCCTTCCAGTTCCTGTGCTCACATAACCAGTACCCATCCTCTCAGATTAATGGTATTACTTAGTTCCTATGTCATTGAAATTATTTTTTTCTCTACTTCTGATAGTAACTTCAGGAATGTTCTTACTGAACATCCTGTGCACACTTATAACTGTTTTTGTTGAGACACAACAAAGAGCTTTTTAAAAAAATATATATTTTATTGATTTTGTACAGAGAGGAAGAGAGAGAGATAGAGAACTAGAAATATCGATGAGAGAGTCATCGATCAGCTGCCTCTTGCACACCCCCCACTGGGGATATGCCCGCAACCAAGGTACATGCCCTTGACTGGAATCGAACCCGGGACCCTTCAGTCCCCAAGCCGACACTCTATCCATTGAGCCAAACCGGTCTCGGCACAACAAAGAGCTTTTATGAAAAGTATCAGACATGTATATCTAAGGCAATCTAACATATGCTTTATGAAAAAATTACAATAAAACTTCATGAGTGTTTATAAAATTCCCAGTGTACAAAAAAATGTGGGCCAGCAACAGTATGTCACCTTTATTTATAGATGTGAGTTTTTATTGGACCAGGCAAAACTTTCAACACTACTTTTTAGATATTATTGAGAAAATATTTTATATTGTGTCTATCTCTCACACAAGAAATATTTATTTTTTTGTAATTAAAGTACATGGAGAAAATAGCTAAGGTGTCAGTTAAATATAAATAAATTTTGAATTAGGAATATTTTTTATATTTGTGTATATGTTTCAACTAAAATAAAATTGACTGCTCTGTCATGTACATACAGTGCTTCCTAATACTGATGATTACCATAGGCACCAATTCATTTTGATTAAATTCATTTGAATATCCCAAGCTAAAGCAATGAGGAAGTGCTTTTTAGTTCCACATGAAATAATTTAAAAATAATATTTAACTTAAGCATAGTGACTTTTACTTTCATAGGGTTTGGTGATTAAAGCTTTATCACTATTTTTTACATCAACTGACTAATATATCTAGTTTATCCAGGGTCCAATTTACCATCTGATAATATGTTTAATGAAGCACATACTGAATTTTTTTATGCCACATTAAGGCCAATTTTATGCATAGTGCCATTACTTTTGAATAGTTTATTAAATACAGTCACTGCATTTGTTCTACCTAGATATTTTTACATTTTGACAAAGGGGGTTAGTATCTTAAATAATTTTCAGACTACTAATATATTTTTGTAAAGTAGCAGCAGAGTAATTCATTTTTTTGGTATTTTATCATAACTTTGTATCACTTTCTTTGAACAGCAAATCACAAATAATTTTTTCAGTGTTGACTTGTAGCATTTATATGGAAATCTAATTTGATAGCAAAATATTTTATGGGGCTTCTATGATTTGAGAAGAGAAAGTTTTAAATTTTAGAATTACTAAAAATAACCTTATTGATTTATTAAGAAGTTATATTCTTAACACCTTGCTGGACCAGATGTTTCGAGGCAGAACTTGCCTGTGTGGCTGGCTGCTTTTCTTTTAGTAGTTTATTGTTCCACAGATCAGTGTTTTGTTCTTCAGTAATAGTTCAGCTGTAGATGTGCTGTTGTAGTAATTATCTTGGTAAATATGATGCCAGGAACCAAGAAAAGGCTATAAGATGGATAATATAGTCTGTTGTAACTTTTTGCCTTTCCCTATATTATATATGTTTTTTAAAAAACTTAATTGTTGAAAGTATTACATATGTCTCCTAGTTTTCCCCATTGACCTCTTCTAGCCTGATCCCGACCTCCACTCCAGGTATTTCCCACCCTATTATCTTTGTCCAAGGGTTATGCATATATACTTACAAATTCTTTGGTTGATCTCTTCCCATCCACCCATCCTCTGTGTTATATTCTTGAAGTTACAAATATAGCCATTCTATAATACTTTCACAAAGCTTCCTTACTAAAGTTCCATATTTTATAAAGATTTAAATTTCTAAATTTCTAAATAAAGCTATCTAAAAGAGGTTTGTAAAGACGGTCTATGTTACATGTTGTTTGTGAATTGTTGTTCAGATGACAGAATGTAAGCATTTGCTTGAATCTCTTTCCAGTCATAGTTTTCAGAAATATGGGTGATTCACCCTAATTGGTTTGGCTCAGTGGATAGAGTGTCGGCCTGCGGACTGAAGGGTCTCAGGTTCGATTCTGGTCAAGGGCAGATGCCTGGGTTGTGAGCTTGGTCCCCAGTAAGGGGTGTGCAGGAGGCATCTAATCAATGATTTTCTCTTATCATTGACATTTCTAACTCTCTCTCCCTCTCCCTTCCTCTCAGAAATTAATTAAAAAAAAAAAAAAAAGAAATATGGGAGATTCAAGTAACGGATTGGTTGACCAGGATTTTTTTTATTCTGGCTTCTTCATTAGTCCCATCAATATAATTAAACCAAGAAACTTCTTTATATCTATCAATATAAGTAATGTCTGTCTATGTTGAAGTTTTAGCAGAGGTTTTGTGGTATTTTTCCATTTGTTGATGGTATAAATCTTTTCCTTTAAGCTAATTTTTAGAGTATCTGATCATTTTGATCCAGTCATATGTAAAGGTTTGGACTTCATTGTCTATATGAATGATATATATATATACATATATATATATTTGTATATACACATACAGTATTATTCTGTTCCATAGGGTCAAGAGAAATTTGGATTGTTAAATGTAACAAAAATTACTGAAAATGGAAAAAAGGTTCGGTAAGTACACAATTCATAAATGTTCTGATATGTTTCATCTGATTGAAATAAAACCTATGAATTTAATTATATTCTAGTAGAAATGTTCAAAGTCTATAAGAATTTCAAATAATATGTTTTCTAATATAATGTATGTATTATTGTAATGAAATGTATGAATTTTTTTTGTTTTAACATATTAAGGTGAAATTAAGTTAGAGGTGAAAATGCAGAGGATATGAGCAAGGATTAGCTTTATTAAAATTTTTTTAATAAGTAATAAATGCACATGACAAAAAACAAAGGCAATCACAATATTTACTCAAAGTCAGTCACCCAGTCATCAGTTTCTCTCCCCAGAGGCAACCAGCTAAATCTAATGAGATGTAGTATTCTCTTCAGAGATAGAACATATATATTTGCATGTGCATAGATTAATTTTTAAATACTATAATCTTTTGACAGTTTATCTTGGACATGGTTTTATTTTGTTGCATGCAGAGCTGCTATATTGTTTGTGACTGCTGCATAGTTACATATTGTATCACAGTTCATTTAATTATTTGTTATTTGCAAGTATGTAAATATGCCTATCTATTGGTAGGCAAGTAGGATATTTACATTTTTTTGGCTTTTACAAACAAAATTATACCTAGTATCTTGCATAGTTTATTTTATAAGTACATAAGTAGGCCTGTAGAATAAATTTATAAAAGTGGAATTGCTAGGCCATATTCAGTGGTCATCTTCATAATGTTCCAAATTATTCTTTAAGGCATTGAATCAGTCCATACCTCTCAATAGCAGTGGATTTCTCCACACCTTTGCAGTTTAATATGTTGTCAAATTCTTTGATCTTTGCTAATAGAAATGAGAGAGAAAATGCTATTTTTTATTTGTCTTTGTGTGTGTGGGATAGAGTGTTATAAGTCATTTGTATTTTTGTTGTTGAGCTGTCAGTTCTTACCCTTTGTTTTTCTATTAAGTTGTTGGCTTGTTTGGTTGATGTCTTTGTAAGCCAAGTTGCATTTTCTCCAGTTTTTAAAAATTTGTAAAGTGCTATAATTTTATAGTCCAAATGAGATCAGTCTGTTGTTTAAGAAAGCATTTAAAATCTACATGTAGTTGAATTTTCAAATCTATGTGGATGAGCAATTAAATCTATGCTTATATTGAATTGTCTTTGTCCAATATTAGTACTTGGAAGTTTTTAGCGCTTGAAAATAGTGTTACAAATACTGCAATTATCTGTTCTTTAAACTGTTCTTCAGTACAAATCACTTGTAAATTGGGTCTTTATATTTTTCTTTCTCTCTTTTGACTATATTTAGTAAAAATAATTATTTGGCCACTTGGTTTTTATTATTGTTTTAACTGTGATAGTCTTACAGATTTTCTACATTTTTGGGTACTTTTGTTGATTTATATTTTCCTAAGAATATTATCCATTTTACTATCAAATTTACATAGAGTTGAACAAAATAGTCTTTGCATTTCTAGTATATTAGTGGTCCTCATGTATTTTGATCTGAGGAACCTTTTAAACTCTTAAAAATCATTAATTACCGCAAAGAACTTACATTCTTATAGTTTATTGTTATTTACTGTGAGGAATTAAAACAAAATTTATGAATATTTATTAACTTTTAAAGCTAATAACCTGTTACATGTTAACATGGAGAACATTTTTATGAAGAAAACCCCCTGTATTTTCCAATATAGAAAATTTCCATGAGAAGCAGTACATTGTTATACATTTTCACAAATTTTTAATATCTGGCTTAATGGAAAATAGCTAGATTTTCATCTCTGCTTGTAGTCTATTTGCTATGATATATTATTTTCGTTAAAGTATATGAAGAAAATCTTTCTTTACACAGATAAAGTTTAAAAAGGGAAGAATATTGTAATAGCCTTCTCAGATTATTGTGTATATTTTTTTTGTTGCACTGCAACTCCAAAAATGTTAGTTTCAATGAATACTGAAAAACCATCAGTGAACTTCTCATACATAATTACATGAAAATCCATGGGTCTGTGTTGCATTTTGAATGAATCTTTACCTGTGCATAATTATGTAGCATCTTATAGGTCATTTGGAATATACTCATTTAAGTTTACTGATCCAAATGTTGACATTTTATTTTATTATATCAAAGAATCACAAATCAAAATAGTCAGTAACTCATGGAAAATTGACACCTTCATAGAAGCAGATGTGCCAAGTTTTCCAAAATCTTTCTTTTTGAAACTTTAATTTTTTTATTGTCAACAAATGTGTGTTATGTGCCATTGAGTCAGCTCCGACTCCTAGCCACCAAGGATGAATGAGTGATAGTCATCATGTCCTGTTCTTTATAGCCTTGTTCAGCTTCTGTATACTCATGCCTGTGGCTTTTATGGAGTCAGTCCATTTCATATTTTGTCTTCCCCTTACCTGTGGTCTTCTATTTTTTCCAGCATTATTGTCTTTTCCAAAAGACCCTGTCTTCTTATGATGTGCTTGTAGTAGGACAGTTTTAGTTTTGTGATTTTTGCCTCCAGTAATGTCTGAGGCTTAATTTGCTCTAGGATCCACTTGTTCATCTTTCTTGTGGTCCAGGGTATGCTTAGAGCTCTTCTTCAATACCATGTTTCAAGTGAATCACTTTTTTCCTCTCAGCCTTCTTCACTGTTCCACTTTCACATCAGTACATAGTATTTGGAAATACAAGGGTATGGATGACCTTAATCTTGGTCTCTAATGACACATCCTTGCTCTTCGTGATCTTTCATAATTCTTCATTTGCTGCCCTTCCAAGTCTCAGCCTTCTTTTAATTTCTTGGCTGCAGTCTCCATTGGAATTGATGACTGAACCAAGGTAAGCAAAATCTTTAACAATATCAATATCTTCATTGTCTAGGTTAAAGGTGTATAATTCTTCTGTAGTCATGATTTTTGTCTTTTTAATGTTCAAATGCAGTCCTGCTTTGGCATTTTCTTCTTTTTATCAGAAGTTTCAAGTCATTGCTACCTTCCACAAGTAATATGGTGTCATCTGCATATCTTAAGTTACTAATATCTTAACTGATTCCGTTGATATTTCTTTCACCAATTTTCACTCCTTCCTCTCAATCTAGCCCAGTTCTTTGTATGATATGTTGTATGTACAATTAAACAAATAGGGCAATGAAATGCTCCCTGGTCTGACACCTTTGCTATAGGAAACTATTCTGTCTCCCTATTATGTGACAGCAACTTTCTGTCCATAGTACAGGTTAGGACAGTCAAGTGCTGAGGCATGCCAGTTGCTTTCAGAGCAACCCAGAGCTTTTCATGAAGGTCGCAAAGACTTTATTGTAGTCTATACAACATAGACTAACCTTTTTCTGAAATTCTTTGCGACACTCCAGTATCCAGTGAATGCTCACAAATAGATATTGAGCGCTACTTTTTTTCTTGTACATCTAACAAGTCAATAAACACTATTATTTATTGTTTTTGAAATGAAAGATTTATTTTCTGGATCTTTATTTATTTTTGAGATAATGTCTACTTGCCAGATAATCAAGTCTAACTAACTAAAGTATGCCCATCAACCGTTTTTGTTTGTTTGTTTGTTTTTTGTTTTTTGGTGTATTTTTTTTTGTCCCTGGCAAAAAATTGGGTACCATGAAAAAAAAGTGATTAATTCTGTTTGCAATTTATTCAAGTGCTTTATCCTTGAAGCAACTGTTATTAATTGTACTAAAATTTCAGTATTTGTTCTCACATATATATTTATTACTTCTATAGTATTTTTATTTAAATATAGTTTATTTAAAGTGGAAATATATTTTACTATTTTTCAAACTAGGGAATCAGTAGATATTATCTAAGAACAGAGATTGAACATTAAAAATTACAAATAAAGTAAGTTATAAAATATTTTAAGACATCCATACAAAATAGTAAAATAAAGTAAAAATAAAATGATGATAGAACAAGCACCAAGCATATCTATCATATCACAATTTCAACAAATGTAAAACAACTATACTCATTTATTGAAAGTAAAAGGTGCTCAGACTGAAGCACAAATCAAAACCCAACTAAATATTATATATAAAAAAGACATCTAAAAATTATTCACAAAAGTTAAAAAAAAAAAAAGGCTTTTCAAACATATGCAAAGATCAGGAATAGGGATCTTAATACCAGATGAGTTCAATTCAAGCTAAAAGCATGAAGCATCACAAAGATTAATATTTTTAAACGATAAAGCACTGTGAATAAATCCACTATGAATCTTAATCATTAAGAACAGCCATTCACCAAATGCATGAAGATCCATAGGAAAAAAGAGCAGGAAATAAAACGATAAATAGAAACTCAGATGTAGTAAACTTTCCTAATTTTTTTATGGTTGACACTATTACAGATATCTTCCACCCCTCCTCCCTAAACTTCTTTTAAAATTTAAAATATTTGTCTTTCACCCTGTTTTATTGAGGAATAATTGCCACACATCTCTGTATTAAGTTTAAGGCATATAGCAAGATGGTTTGGTTTACATATATTGTAAAATGATTACCATAATAGGTTCAGTTAACATCCATCTTCTCATATAGATACAATAAATAGAAAAGAAAAAGGGAAAATATTTTCTCTTTATGATGAGAACTAGTAAGATTTACTCATAGTTATCATGTTGTACATTTTATACCTAGTGCTTACTTATATTATTACTGTGAGTTTGTATCTTTGACCACCTTTCTCCCCTTACCTTCTGCCCTTTTTCTATGAGGTTTTGTTTTGTTTTAAAAATTCCACACATAAATGAGATTATATGGTATTTGTCTTTCTCTGTCTGACTTATTTGCTTAGCATAATGCCTTCAAGGTCCATCCATGTTGTCACAAATGACAGGGTTTCCTTATCTTTTTTACAGTTGAATAATATGCTATTATATGAATATATACCACAACTTCTTTATTCATTTATCCATCAGAGAACACAGGTTGTTTCCTTGTCTGGGCTATTGTAAATTATGCTGCTATGAACATGAAGGAGCAAATATCTTTTTGAGTTAGTGCTTTTGTTTCTTTTGGATATATGCCCAGAAGTGGAATTGCTGGCTCATAAAATAATTCTATATTTAATTTTTTGAGGAACCTCCATACTGTTTTGCATAGTGGCTGCGCCAGTTTACAATCCCATCAGCAGTGCACAGGTTTCTTTTTCTCCACATCATTTGTTACTTCTTGTCTTTTTGATGGTGTCCATTTAACAGGTCTGAGGTGATATCACATTGTGGTTTTAATTTGCAATTTTTCTAATGACTAGTTGAGCATCTTTTCATGTGCCTATTAGCTTTTAGTATATCTCCTTTGAAGAAATGTCTATTCAGGTCTTTTACCTATTTTCTTTTTTCATTAGGTTATATAGGCTTTTGCTGTTGTGTTACGTGAGTTCTTTATACATTTGGATATTAACCCATAATCAGGTATTTGGTTTGTAAATTTTTTCCCAATTATGTAGGTTGTCTTTCCCTTCTTTTTCTTCCATTTTTTTTTTATTAAGGTATTATATGTGTACATATCTTACCATTCCCCTCCCTACCACTCCCATACATGCCCTCCCTCCCCAGAGTTTTGCGTCCATTGGTTATGCTTATATGCATGCATACAAGTCCTTCAGTTGATCTCTTATCTCCCCCATATCTCTCTACCTTCCCCGCTGTAATTGGACAGTCTGCTTGTTGCTTTACTGTCTCTATCTTTTTATTCATCAGTTTATAATGTTCTTTATTATCCATAAATGAATGAGATCATGTGGTGTTTTTCTTTCATTGACTGGCTTATTTCACTCAGCATAATGTTTTCCACTTCCATCCAGGTCGCTGCAAATGATAAGAATTCCTTCTTTTTTATGGCAGCATAGTATTCCATTGTGTAGATGTACCATAGTTTTTTGATCCAATCATCTGCTGACAGGCATCTAGGCTGTTTCCAAATCTTAGCTATTGTAAATTGTGCTGCTATGAAAATAGGGATGCATATGTCCTTTTTGATTTGTGTTTCTAATTTTTTAGGATATATTCCTAGGAGTGGGATTACTGGGTCAAATGGGAGGTTCCATTTTCAGTTTTTTGAGGAAACTCCATACTGTTCTCCATAGTGACCAGTCTGCATTCCCACTAGCAGTGCACGAGAGTTTCTCTTTCCTTGCCAACATTTGTCATTTGTTGATTTGTTGATGTTGGCCATTCTAACAGGTGTGATTTGCATGTCTCAGATAATTAGTGACTTTGAGCATGTTTTCATGTGTCTCTTGGCCTTCTTTCTGTCTTCTTTTGAACAGATTCTATTTAGGTCCATTGCCCATTTTTTAATTGGCTCATTTATCTTCCTTTTATTAAATTATATAAGCTGTCTGTAGATGTTGGAGATTAAACCTTTATCAGTGATAACATTTACAAATATGTTCTTCCATACAGTGAGCTTTCTTGTTGTTTTGCTGATGCTTTCTTTTGCTGTAAAAAAGCTTTTTATTTTGTTGTAGTCCCATTTGTTTATTTTCCTTTTAGCTTCTATTGCTCTAGGGGCAGTATCAGTGAAGAAGTTCTTTTGGCATATGTCTTGAGATTTTGCTGCCTGTGGATGCCTTTAGTATTTTTATGGTTTCCTGCCTTATGTTTAAGTCCTGTATCCATTTTGAGTTTATTTTTTGTGTATGGTGTAAGTTGGTGATCTAGTTTTAATCTTTTGCATGGATCTGTCCAATTTTCCCAGCACCATTTATTGAAGAGACTCCATTGTATGTTCGTGCCTACTTTGTCAAATATTAATTGAGTATAAAGGTTTGGATCGATATCCAGATTCTCTATTCTATTCCATTGATCTATATGTCTGTTCTTGTGCCAGTACCATGCTGTTTTAAGAACAATGGCTTTGTAATACAGCTTGAAATCTGGTATTGAGATCCCTCCTACTTTACTCTTCTTTCTCAGGATTGCTGTGGTTATTCTGGGTCTTTTTTTGTTCCAGATGAATTTTTGGAGAGTTCTTTCTAGGTCTGTGAAATATGCCATTGGCATTTTAATGTTGAGTACCTTGAACCTATAAATTATTATGGGAAGTATGGACATTTTAATAATGTTGATTCTACTAATCCACGAACATGGTATGTTCTTCCATCTGTTTACATCTTACTCTATCTCTTTTTTCAGTGTCCTGTAGTTTTCTGCGTATAGGTCTTTTACCTCCTTAGTTAAGTTTATTCCTAGGTATCTTAAATTTTTTGGTGCGATGGTAAATGGGATTGCTTTTTTAGTCTCTGTTTCTGAAAGTTCACTATAGGTATATAGAAAAGCCATAGATTTCTTAGCGTTAATTTTGTATCCTGATACATTGCTGAATTCATTTATTAAGTCAATTAGTTTTTTGATGGAGTCTTTTGGTTTTTTTATATACAATATCATGTCATCTGCAAATAAGGACAACTTTACTTCTTCTTTTCCAATTGAGATGTCTTTTATTTCTTCTTCTTCTTCTTGTCTAATTGCAATGGCTAGTACTTCCAATATTATGTCAAACCGGAGTGATGAGAGTGGGCATCCTGTCTTGTTCCTATTCTTAGAGGGAATGATTTTAGTTTTTGCCCATTGAATATGATGTTTGCTGTGGGTTTATCATATATAGCTTTTATTATGTTGAGGTATGATCCTTCTATTCCCACCTTGTTGAGAGTTTTTATCAGGAAAGGGTGTTGGATTTTATCTTTCACTTTGTTGATAAGTTTCTTTCACTGTGTAGAGCTTTTTGGTTTGATCTAGTTTCTCTTTTTTATTTGTTGCTTGTATTTTAAATGTCATATTTTAAAAAATTATTACCAAGACCCAAGTCAGGGAGCTTTATTCTATGTTTTTGTCTAGAAGGTTTATGGTTTTAGGTCCTACATTTAGGTCTTTAATCTATTTTGAGTGAATTTTTATGAGTAGTGTAAGTTATGGATTTAGCTTCATTCTTTTAAGTGTGAATATTTAAGTATCCCAGCATCATTTATTGAAAATTATCTTTTTCCATTAAGTATTCTTGTCAAATATTAGTTGACTAAGTAAGTAGTGAACTTTATTTCCCTTTTCTTAACCCTTGAAGTTTAAGTAGATAAAAAAGGAAATAAAATAATAATGTAGGTCTGATTGATAGATATTAAATTCTACTTTCTGAAAATGGAGAACAAACTATTTTTTGAGTGCCTGTAGAATTTCCACAAAACTGGCCACATGTTTGGTTGTAAGGTAAGTTTTAATTTCGGTAGTAGACATATTTAACATTTTACTTAGCCTGCCAGCAGTTGAATTCTCTTATAAGGTAAACATTGGTCATCTCTAGTATATGGATTGGATGAGAATAAATGAGTTTTCCTTTATATATTTCTATATTCAGAGTCCTGGATAAGTACCTTGTAAACATAATTAGGTATATAGTTATTCTGATAAACTATCTTTAACTTCATTTATTTTGGGGCCTTTATGGTCAGGTTGGGATAATGAAATGATTGTAATTTTCATTAGCTTTATATTCCTAATAAAAACAATTAGAGTGTCAATAATGACTGTAAATTTGGACAACATTGGTAATCACTAAATAGTGATTCATTTTTAAAGGTTGGTTGTAAAAACTAGGGAATTGAACTTTGATTGGTCATCTTTATAATTACAGAAAGAACTGGTTGTCGTCTTGGGTTGTGTTGCACGATTCATCTTTACTCATTACCAAAACTCAAGGAAGTAGCACAAGTTGGGTAAGTATTACTTCTATTTGTGGGCTTTAAACATTCAAAATATGTCGATAGTATTGTACCTGAAGTTCATGAAGTATTCCATAGTCCTTCTAGCTATGGCTAATGTGAAAAAAAAAGTAAAATGAAAAAGATTAAATACTGCCATTTGCGAACAACATGGAAATACCTTGAAAATATCATGGTAAGTGAAATAAGTCTGATGGAAAAAGTCAAGAACCATATGATTTCATTCACATGGTGGATATAAAAAAGAAAGCAACAAACAAACAAATTAGACAAATAAGCAAAAACTAATAGACCCAGGCAGCAGTATCATGGTTACCAGAGGGGAAGGGAGATGGGACGAGGAGGAAGAGGATAAAGGGGGCCAAATGTATGGTGACAGAAGGAGACTTGACTTTGGGTGGTGAAGCACTGCAGTATACAGATGATGTCTTAAAATCAACAAATTCTGTTTTATCCATTGAACTGCAAGGTGGGCTTACTATTTCGGCATGATAGAACAAATATATTTCTTGATTCATGTTCAGGGTGTTAAAGCTCTCCTCTATTTGTGACTCTGCTATTTCAAGTATTTAGTCAGAAAATAAGTAGTAATGTTCCAAGCTCCACCTTGAACTGACCCCTAAATACTTGAACTGACCCCTAAATACTAGTCAGTGATTCAGGTGTCCATGTCTGTATATGTCAGCCAGCTTTTAGAAGAGAAAGAAATGTCACCATTACTTGTAGCATTTTGAAACTTTTTGTATATTTGAGTGTTTACTATTATTACTCCTCAGTTATTTGTAGTACAAATTATGAAAAGTATATTTGTGACATAATATCTAATACTTTTTGAATGCTTAATATGCATTAGGTACAATTAATTACAATTGCAGAAACATAGTTTAAAATTCTCTGATTTAGCCAGCATTGAAATTGTAGAATTCTTAATGAATTTTTAACTGTGGAGATTTACTATTTGAATTTTTGCCTTTCCATGAAATTTTATTAATATAATATTAGTAATCATTTCTTATCTCTATAATTAAATAAGGTACAATCACACTGTGTTTTATAGTTTCAGTAAAAGCTAAACAGATGTGGAATATAATAAAATGCTTGGTAATGTAGGGATTTTTAATTTAATTTAATTTTTAATTAATTTTTATTATTGAGATTATTATAGATGTCCCTCTTTCCCCTAACCCCCATTGCTCTTCTCCACCTGGTTCTTACCTCACCCCAGGCCTTTGCCGCCCTATTGTCTATGTCCATAGGTAATGTATAGATGCATATAAGATCTTTGTCTAATCTCTTCCCATACCCTCAAAACCCCCTTCTCTCTGAGAATCGTCAGTCTGTTCCATTTCTATGCCCCTAATTCTATTCCATTTAGCAGTTAATTCTGTTCATCAGATTTTTTATTCATTTGATTTTTAGATTCACTTGTTCATAGATATGGATTTGTTGTCACTTTGTTCATATATATTTTAAACATACGTATTTTATTGATTTTCTTATAGAGAGGAAAGGAAAAGGATAGAAAGCTAGAAATATTGATGAGAGAGAAACATCGACCAGCTGCCTCCTGCACACTCCCTACCGGGGATGTGCCTGCAACCAAGGTACGTGCCCTTGACCGGAATCGAACCTGAAACCCCTCAGTCCGCAGGCCAACGCTCTATCCACTAAGCCAAACCAGTTTCGATACTTTGTTCATATTTTTTATCTTTACCTTTCTCTCCTTCTTTCTCTTCTTAAAGAATACCTTTCAGCCGAAACCGGTTTGGCTCAGTGGTAGAGCGTTGGTCTGCGGACTAAAAGGTCCTGGGTTCGATTCCGGTCAAGGGCATGTACCTTGGTTGCGGGAACATCCCCTGTAGGGGGTGTGCAGGAGGCAACTGGTCGATGTTTCTCTCTCATTGATGTTTCTCTCTCATCAACGTTTCTAGCTCTCTATCTCTCTCCCTTCCTCTTTGTAAAAAATCAATTAAAAAAAAAAGAATACCTTTCAGCATCTATAATAATAAAAGTGTAATATGCTAATTAGACTGGACGTCCTTCTGGACGACCTTCCAGACAAAGCCGGGGTGTGAAGGAAGCCCGGGTCCCTGGTGCCTGCTGGCAGCTGGAGGGAAGCCGGTGCCGGTAGCCAGGAGAAGGAAGGCCTGTTCTTGCATGAATTTCATGCACTGGGCTTTTAGTTTCATATAATACTGATTTGGTGGTGATGAACTCCTTTAGCTTTTTCTTTTCTGTGAAGCTTTTTATCTGACCTTCAATTCTAAATTTGCTGGGTAGAGTGATCTTGGTTGTAGATCCTTGCTATTCATCACTTTGAATATTTCTTGCCACTCCCATCTGGCCTGCATAGTTTCTGTTGAGAAATCAGTCATATGGGTGCTCCCTTGTAGGTAACTGTTTTTCTCTTGATGCTTTCAAGATTCTTTGTCTTTTGCTCTTGGCATTTTTAAAAAAATATATATTTTATTGATTTTTTACAGAGAGGAAGGGAGAGAGAAAGCTAGAAACGTCGATGAGAGAGAAACATCGATCAGCTGCCTCTTGCACACCCCCTACTGGAGATGTGCCCGCAACCAACGTACATGCCCTTGACCGGAATCAAACCTGGGACCTTTCAGTCCGCAGACCGATGCTCTATTGCTGAGCCAAACCGGTTTCGGCTGTTCTTGGCATTTTAATCATGATGTGTCTTGGTGTGGTTTTCTTTGGATTCCTCTTGTTTGGGGTTCTCTGTGCTTCCTAGACTTGTAAATCTATTTGTTTCACCAGGTTGAGGAAGTTTTCTATCATTACTTCTTCAAATAGGTTTTAAATATCTTGCCCTTTTTCTTCTTCTGGTACTCCTATAATTCTGATGTTGGTAAACTGGAAGTTGTCCCAGAGGCATCTTACACTATCTTCGTATTTTTAGATTCTTTTTCTTTTTGCTTTTCTGGTTGGGTGTTTATTGCTTCTTTGTATTTCAAATCTTTGAGGTGATTCTTAGGATTCTCTAGTCTGCTGTTGGGTCTCTGTATAATATTTTTTATTTCATTCAGTGTATGCTTAATTTCTAATTGGTCCTTTTTCATATGCTCAAGGGTCTCACTAAATTTCTCAGATTTCTAGAAGATTCTTGATTAACCTTGTAACTGTGGTTTTGAACTCTATATCTTGTAGTTCGCTTTCCTCCATTGCTTTCATTTCTGACATGTTTTTTTGTCTCCACATTTTGGCTGCTTCCCTGTGTTGATAAGGTGGCTTTGTGTGCTAGGTGTTCTTTAGGGCCCAGTGGCTCAGCCTCTCCAATCACTTGAGGTGGATGCTCTTGGTGCACCCGTTTGTGGGCTGTGTGCACAGTCTTGTTGTAGTTAAGCCTTGATTGCTTTTGGTATCACAGGGAGAAATTGATCTCCAGACCAATTGGCAGCCTCCACAGAGGGGATCTCCCTCCCAATTAAAAAAGTGGCACACCCGGGTGCCGGACCAGCCCATTCTGCACCTCTGCACCTCCTACCAGTCTCAGTGTGCTTTCTTCTTTACCTCTCTAGTTGTAGTACTTCCATTCAGCCAGCTTTCTGGCGGTTCTGGATGATAATTTTCTGTATTTTAGTTGCAATTTTGATGTGGTTGTAGGAAGCAGCATGTGCAGATATTTACCGATGCTGCTATTTTGGTTCTTTTAGTTTTTATTTGATGACAAATTTTTAAAAACTCTCAAGATAGCCTTGCTTTTTCCTTCTCATATGTAACACATACTAAGGGATTGAAAACTAATTTTTAAATGGCTTAAGTAAAAGCAAATAAGATTACTCAAATAAAAAGTGTATGTGTATGTATGATGTATTTTGGCATATACAATATTCATAAATATTAAAAATTGATTAAACATGGAGGTTGTTTCTTTTTTGTTGCCATTTGTATTAGTTATTGGTTAATTTCTCCTGTGTTTCATCTTAAAAAATCAGCAAAGAGTATGTGAGGAACATCTGGCTGTGACATCTGTTAACCCCATTGGTCGCCAGGGTTGTTTTGGCTGATCTGGCTGATCTGGCTGGCTAGGCAGGTGTCCCGCTCCTCCCTCACCTATCCATGTGTGTTCCTCCTGAAGCTGTGCACTTCCCTCTCCCCCACAGAGGAGCATTGGTCTTCGGTTAAGGGAATACAGGTAGCCGCGCTCCCCTGCTAGAACCTCCAAACAAGCTCTCAAAAATCAGCAAATACAATATATATCTGACATTTTCTTTCTTTAGACAAAAGCTATCATATTATATATGCTTTTATATTTTGCTGCTTTTTTTCTTAGCAATATATATATTGGAAATCACTCAGCCTATAAAAACCTCCTTTAATCATTTTTAGGGTTACATAATACTTCATTGTGTAGATGTTCCATAATTTTTTCTAAGGATGGACATTTAGATTGTTTCCTAATTTTTCTGTTACAGAATGTCAGTTAAGATGCTTCTTAATTAACTCTATATTAATGAATCCTCAAAAAATGTATACACACTTTGAATAATTATTAATTCCAATGGATTAAATCTGAAAAGAAAGAAACATCAATTGAGCTATCAGAAAAAAAGTGTGTATACAGTTCTTTGGACACCCTATAGAATTACCGATTTTTCCTCTCTAGGAGTTCTAATTTATACCCGTCACTTACATATGAGGTTGTTAATACTCTGTAGCGGGGGTGGGGAACCTTTTTCTGCCAAGGGTCATTTGGATATTCATAACATCGTTCAGGGGCCATACAAAATTATTAACTTAAACTATATTTGGTCAAACATTTAATTAACTCAGCCCTAATACCTTGGCAGGGCCAGACCAAATTATTTCATAGGCCTTATATAGCCCGCAGGCCAGACATTCCCCACCCCTGCTCTGTAGCCTCACCAAACATAGTTTTTCCTCAAAAGTTTGTATTTTATTTTCTTACATTTTTTTCCTTTTCCTTTTTGCTACACTGTTGGATGAAAAAAGATTTTAATGTGGCTTTCTTTTGTATTTTTCTTATGATAGAAGTTGTCATTTTATTTCCTTTTCTATGACCTATATATGTCTTGCAGACATTTTTCAGTTTTAAAGTGGAAATTGTTATTTTATAATAGAGAAAGAGAAGAATTTGAGATAATTACTTGTTTGATTTATTGTTAATGATATAAAGTTGGTCTTAATTCTTTTTGAATGTACACATGTAAATGAATATCACTTAAAGCTTTTTTCTCTCTTTTTTCTAACCATGAAGTTTGGGAGTAATCAGTCCAAACCAGAGTTCACAGTGGACCTTAAGGGGGCGACGATTGAGATGGCTTCCAAGGATAAATCCAGCAAAAAGAATGTATTTGAGGTAATAATTTTTTTTTCTGAGTATAATTCACATTCTTAACTATTGTGATTAGATCTTATTTTTTTTAATTACTTTGGACTTCGGAAATGGCCTTTCAGTATAATTAAGTCAATTTGTATTAAGAAAAACAGATGATATGAGGAACTGGGTTTTAATTGCATAAATTATAGGATCTCACATATATTACAAGCCTTTGTCCCACAAATCTTGCCTTTCACCAGAAATACTAAAAAGGTATGATTTCATTTACTCTGAAATCTAATATTAAAAAATACTTTCCATTTTGTCATTAAAAACCCCTGCGCAGTAATTTATAATTTTGCATCATTTATTGCTGCATATCAGACCACCCCACAATTTAGCAGCTTACAAAAAGTCACATTGCTTAATTTGTCTGAGTGATTCGTCTGATCTTTCATGAGTCTTCATTTACCCAGTGGCTTGACTGGGGCTGGATGGTTCACTTTTCTGTGTTGGTGCCAGCTGTTTGCTAGGCCTCTTTCTCCACAAGATCTCTAATTCTCAAGGAGGCTACCCCAGCCAGGCTTCTTTATATGTTGGAATCAGGGTTCCAAGAGGGGTTTGGAAGCTGCAAGACTTCTTGCAACCTAAATTTAGAAGTCATTTGTAAAATATATTCTGTCGGTGAACACAAGTCAAAAGGCCAGCCAAGTATTCTAGGTGGGGAATTAGAGTCCACCACTTGATGAGCAGTAAAGAGTCAAATTGCAGAGTATGGATAGAGAGATGGGAAGAATCTTTCAGGCTCTCTTTGCAAACAATCCTTCAGATCCAAACCTTCCTTTCTAGCTTCAAGGTTTAGTCCTTTCCTAGCTTGTTGTCTAGGCAGATTGGATTAGTTTCTGTTTTCCTGCCTCTTTGATTTTCACTCTATATTATTTTACCTTGGATATTGACCCATGCCAAACATCTATATTGCATAAGAAACGTTACCACAACATTGATGCTTTTGCTTTGTTTATGCTTTAAAATTAGCATTTATTTTAATGTACCGTGGGTTGTTGTCATCTGTAAGTTATTCTCCCCACTAGATGATGAAAGAGTTTTTGTATTTTAAGCAGAAAAACTATGTTATTTCCTTATCTTTAAGAACTTCTAACAGTGTTCCTTATGTACACTGAAGATTCAGTATTAGTTGACTGACCTGACCCACTTTATAGAGAAACGCAAGGAAGAAAGTTACTATTTTCTGAATTAGCCTAGCAGTGCCAATAACTGATTCCAAAATGAAAAGGATTCAATGATCAAATACCTTTTTAAAACATTTTTTTCAGGAACTGTGCTTGAGGCATATGTCTTAGAATGTTGTTTGGGAAACATTGCCATAAGTTTCTCTAGGGAAAAATGTTATCAACCAGAAAATAGGATTGCTTTCTCCAACTGCTTTATCTCAAGCAATTATAAGAAACTTTGAAGTAAGAAATTATACATAAATTGTTATTGCCTTCAGATAGCACCATATAATAGTATTCTTACTTGAGTTAGTTCATGATTTGACACTTTAGTAAATTTAGTAATATTTCTGCCCCAAAGGGATATGGCATATATCATCTGTGCTATCTCTGTACTAGGCCATTATATTTTCTATTAAATAGGAAATAATGAAAGTCTAACTCTTTGTACATTTTCCCTACATTTATTTTTTTAGCTAGAGGGGGAAAATTTCTCAGATTTATATAAAAGTATCATAGGTTTTATGAATTATGTTTCAGTTCTAATTTAAAATGTTTGGCTTTGATTCTTAAGCATTTTTTAATGATAAAGTGTATTATATTTCAGCAAGTATTATGTAATTTGTGTAATGGAATTTGAGACCATAAATTAAGATTTTCACTGAAACTTTATTGTAAGAAAAACTTTACATTTTATAAAAGAATTCTGCTGAGCCCTAACCGGTTTGGCTCAGTGGATAGAGTGGATGGCCGACGGACTGAAAAGTCCCAGGTTCAATTCTGGCCAAGGGCATGTATACCTCCAGTAGGAGGTGTGTAGGAGGTAGCTGATCGATGTTTCTGACTCTCTCTTCCTCTCTGTAAAAAATCAATAAAATATATTTTAAAAATAACCAATTCAGTTGATATTATTTTATACTAAAATAAGAGATATTCCATCGCTGTGTAGTACTTAAACTCATCACATAATATATTATATGGCATCTAATCTGCTTGTGGTTTTTTAGATTTTGAATTAAATGTATTCATTTATTTGGTTGAAAGCACTAACCATGTTTTTCTCTCTCTCTCTCTCTTTTTTCTTTCTTTTTCCTTTTCTCTAAAGCTGAAAACCTGTCAAGGAACAGAATTGCTAATTCAGTCTGATAATGATACTGTTATTAATGATTGGTTTAAAGTTCTTAGTACTACTATCAATAATCAGGTATGTGTTTGACTTAGGTAAACTTTTTTACTTCAGAGCAGCTTTTCATTTTGGTTTTCTGATTGTTTATTGCATCTCTATATTCATGTGAAAAAACACATTCTTAATATATAATTTGACAGAGGTGGATAAGACGGTGATCACTTTAGTAATTCTCAGGTGCTGGTGAATGATTTAGCATTCTCATTTATATCGTGTCTAACTATTTTAAATATTTAAATTATTGTAAATAATTTTCACATGAGGCATTGGTTCTAAAAGAAATAGTTCAAGAAGATGGGACAGATCTGTGCCTAGTGCGTATTTATTCAATGACTGGATGAGTTAGAAATAGTACTATTTGGTGAAAATAGTTCCGAGGCAAAATTGTAAAATAAATGAATCTGTAATCTTTTAATTAGCATGCTTTTTTTTTTTTTTTTTTTTTACTAGTGACACATCTAATCCCCCAATACCCCAAAGTGTTCTCAGATGTTCTAGCTCTCCCTCATACCCAACCAGTGCCCTCATGTTCCTGATAAATTTTTTCTTATGTATGTAGTAACTAAAAAGAACTGCAGATTTATATTCAGAGCTATACTTTCTTAGATTATATTTTTACCCATTCACCATATGTGGCATTGCTCCTAAATAAGGATCACATGTCAGTGATAAAATTGAAAATGAATACATAGGGGAATGTGTAACGGTTTTTTTTCTGTAACAGAGACAGAAAAAAAGTTGGGAATCATTGGCTTTAGTAATTAAGATGTCTATCAGAGATTTTATAGGTGAAGCCACATAATTAATGAGTTATGGTCTTACTAAAGTACTACCTCTTATGGGCATCAGTATTTTACTTATAAAATAGAGAGATTGGATTTGATTGTCTCTAAGTATCTTTTCAAGCTCCATAATTTTATGACTCTCAGTTCAAAACACCCTGATATAGAATCTGAGTATGCTTTAACTTTTCCTCTTTTATCTCTTCTATCAAATAACTCATAACTACCCCTCTCTCCTTCCCTTCCTCCCTCCAATCCTCCTTCCCTCTAAACCATGCACAGACCTTTATGGGTTCATGCCTTACATTTAAGTCTTTTATCCACCTTGAGTTTATTCTTGTGTACAGTGTAAATTGGTGGTCTAGTGTCATCTTTTTGCATGTGTCTGTCCAGTTTTTTCAACATCATTTATTGAAGAGTCTGTCTTTACTCCATTGTATGTTCTTACCTCCTTTATCAAATATTAATTGACTGTAATGGTGTGGGTCAATTTCTAGGGTCTCTGTTCTGATCCATTGGTCTATATGCCTGTTCTTGTGTCAGTACTAGGCTATTTTGGTTATAATTACTTTGTAGTATAGTTTTATATCTGGTATTGTGATCCCTCCTACTCTGTACTTCTTTCTCAAGATTTCTGCAGCTATTCTGGGTCTTCTATGATCCTGTATAAATCTTCAGAGTATATGTTCTAATTCTGTGAAGTATGCCATTGGTATTTTACTAGTGATTGCTTTTGGTAGTATAGACATTTTAATGTTGTTAATTCTTCCAGTCCATGAACATAGTATGCACTTTCATTTTTGTTTTGTTTTATTATTTTCTTCGATTTCTTTTTTCAATGTCCTGTAGTTTTCCATGTACAGAACTTTTACCTTTTTGGTTAAGTTTACTCCTAGGTATCTTACTTTTTTGTTGTTGCAATGGTAAATGGGATTGCTTTTTTAGTTTCTGAGTTCCCTACCAATTAATTTTTAATGCCATTGCAATATAAAACTTTCTTATGTCAATTTTACAGTTCTTTCTTGCTTAGAAACCTTCTGTAACTACCATTAAAATTCAACAACCTGAGCCCAATCTATCTTTTTTTTAAAAGTTAATAAATTTTTATTGTTCATATTATTACAAATGTTCCTCCCCCCCCCATTGCTCTCCTTCATCAGGTTCCCACCCCACCCTTCGCCCCTTCCCTACCCCCCACCGTCCTCATCCATAGGTGCACAGTTTATGTTCAGTCCCTTCCCATATCCAACTCTCCCCATTTCCCCAAGAATCTTCAGTTCACTCCCCTTCCATACCTCTGATTCCCTATATTCAACAGTTAACATTGTTCATCAGATTTTCTTTTTAACTTCCTTAGTTTTTAGATTCACTTGTTGATAGTTACGTATTTGTTGTTCATAATTTTTATCTTTATTTTCTTCCTCTTCCTAAAAAAACCCCTTCAGCAATTCATATAATTCTGATTTGGCAGTGATGAACTCCTTTAGCTTTTTTTTATTTGTGAAGCTCTTTATCTGGCCTTTGATTCTGAGTGATAGCTTTGCTGGGTAGATTATTTTTGGCTGTAGGTTCTTGCTATTCATCACCTTGAATATTTCTTGCCATTCCCGTCTGGCCTGCATGGTGTCTGTTGAGAAGTCAGCTGACAATCATATGGTTGCTCCTTTATAGATAACTACCTGCTTTTCTCTTGCTGCTTTTAATATTCTCTCTTTGTCTTTTGCTCTTGAAATTTTAATTATGGTGTGTCTTGGTGTGGTCCTCTTTGGATTCCTTTTGTTTGGAGTTCTGTGCGCTTCCTGGACTTGTAAGTCTAATTCTTTCACCAGGTGGGGGAAGTTTTCTGTCACTATTTCTTCTAGTATGTTTTCGGTATTTTGCTCTCTCTCATCTTCTGGGACCCTCATAATTCTGATGTTGGTTCGCTTGAAGTTGTCCCAGAGGTTTCTTACATTATCTTCAATTCTCTGGATTCTCTTGCCTTCTAGCTTCTGTGGAGGAGTGTCTTCTGGCTCTTTATGTTCCAAATCTTTGACTTGATTCTTGCAATCTTCCATTCTGTTTTTAGGACTCTGTATAATATTTTTTATTTCAGACAATGTATTCTTTACTTCTTGTTGATCCCTTATCATTTCTTATTGATTCCTTATTAATTCTAGTTGATCTCTTTTCATATCCTCATAGGTCTTATCCATCTTTTCTAGGAAATTCTTGAAAAACCTTATAAGCGTAGATTTGAACTCTATATCCAGTCGCTTTTTGTCCTCCATTTCTTTCGTTTGTGATCTATTTCGTTGTTGCATTTCACAGCTACAGATGGGGCGGAGTTTCAGGGTGGAGCCTACAGCCTTGGCTTCCGTCAGCCCCGCCCTATGCAGTTCCTGGGTCTCAGTAATCCTCAGGGTCCTTCAGTTGCAAGTGCCTCTGAGAGAAAGGTGCCCTCGATTTTCGCCTGCTACCAGTCTAGGCTCTCCCCCAATGAGCCCAGAACTGGGGTTCAGTTTAGTTGGTAATGGGATTGGAGGTGGCATTCAGAGCAGTCTGGAGCCCCTGTTTCCTTCCCGCCAGGGCAATCCCGTGGCACAGCCAACCGTCCCTTCTCTGCGCACAATGTGCGTGCCGCCGGGACCTCCTTTCGCCGCTCCCCCAGGGTTCTGCCTTGCAGCCCGGCTCCCTCTGTGTGAGCCTGGATCCCCGGGGTCTGGCCTAGAACTGGGGTTCAGAGCAGTCGGAATTGGGGCCCAACACAGTCGGAGCTTTTATCTCCTTCTTGCTAGGGAACGCCAGCCAGACACTCAGCCGCCCTCCTCTCCGGCTCCGTCCTCTCCGCGCGCCGCGTGTACCTTAGGCTTTTCCAGCTCCTCCACGCTTCCTTCTGGTTTTCTCCTTGCTTCTCGTTGTAGAATTTCCAGTCAGTCGACTTTCCTGTAGTTCTGGGTAATGTCCATTTTATATTTTAGTTGTATTTTATTGAAATTGTTGTGTGCAGCTGCAGCTAAGTGTTTACCTGGGTAGCCATCTTTCAACTGTCTCCCAATCTATATTTTAAAATGTGCCATCTACTCTACCCATTGTGAGCTTTCTTGTAAGCAAGTCTGGGTGCATTCATTTGGCAAATGTGTGCATACCTTATGAACTAGGGATGTAGCAGCATGCAGTCAGATGCTATACTTATTTATTTGGAGCTTGCCATAAAAAGATAGATAATTACTGAAGACAGACAACTGACCAACTCATATAATGACATGTGGTGAGTTTTATGATGGTATGGGATGTATAACATACTATAAAAATACTGATTAAGTAGGGACCAACCTTATTCTAAAAGTCAAGGTCAGGGAAGGCCTTGCAGAGAAAGTTTTTTTTGTTGTTCATTTGTTTTGTTTTTTAGAATTGAAACCTATTGGATCAGGGAATAAACCAAGTGAAAGGATAGGAACTTATTACTATGAGATTTAAAAACATGAACCATTTACAAAGTGGCAAAAGATACTAAGTAGTAAGAGATATGCAAGACCTTGGTGGGGAAAATTACAAAATTTTATGGAGAGACATTGAAGAAAACCTAATTAAATGAGAAATATATTATGTTCATAAATTAAAAGGCTCAATAATGTAAAGATACAATATATTTACAAATGATTTATAAATTTATAGATTAGAGATTTTGAATCCATTAAAAATCTCATTACCTTTTCTACTGAAACTGCTCTATCATATGTCAAGACTTCAGGAAAGCTATATTATTTAATACAATGTTGTATTCATACCAGGATAGATACAAAGACCATAGACCCCTGTATCTGTGGACACTTTATACCAGATATATCACTGTAGATTATTGAGTAAGAATAAATTTTTTAGTAAATAATGCTGGGCCAGCTGGATATTCAAGAAGAAATTTTAGTCTTTCCCCATATGATACAGAAAAATAAATTCTTGGTTGAAAAAGATATCAGTGTGAAAGGCAAAATGCAAGGTTGGCTTTGAGAACTCAGTCCAGTTTTTTAATCTATAAAAGTGGTTAGACCTTAAATTAAGATCCCTAGGATTTCTTTCAATTCCTAACATCCATGAGTCTGAATAATGATTAACTATTGACATAAAATGTAGATTTCTTGTGCCATTTTCTCAGAATGTAGCTTCATCTTGTTCTAGCACCGTAGATTGTAACCTGACCTTTTAACTGTTATTACTGATACTCATGTGCAGTTGATCAAAATGAGGCAAGATCACTTCACCATCAGTATAAATCCATTGTCTTATGAATTATCAGTAATATTCCTTTTTGGAAATTCAGAATTAATGCCATCTAAGGAGAAAAAAACAGTCTAATTTAAATGATTTATCAAATACCTAAGTTATACCTGTTATATGCTAATTGGTTCCCTAAAATATAATAATTTGAAAAGTCAGTGATTATTCTGAAATTTATGCTGTTACATCTAAAGCAGTATCAAAAGTAATACATGTTTGCGAAATTGCAACCCATAGCCAGTAGAAACTGTTGAAGCAATTGAAGAGGACACACCAGATTCCCCAGGAATAGAAAAACAAGATAAAGACCATAAGGATCCTAGAAAACTTCGTTGTAAGTTATTCTTTCTCTGTTTGGCTAGTGGTTTGAGAGAGCTTATTCTCTTTGCTTTTCAAAGATTAAAAAAAATATATGTAAAAGCTAAGTGAAATCTCTACTGTTATAAAAAAGTTATAAGATTTAATACTTGCAAGTTCAATGTTGTAATACTCTCCTTGTTAACTCATTGTTATTATTTCAACCTCATTGTATGCATCCCTGGAGCATCATATTAATTTTGAGGGACTATGATTTAAAAAGAAAAAATATATATTAGGATGAACTTTTTTTGAGGTCTCTAGGAAACTAAATTTTATTGATTTAAAAATATATAATTATTGTTTATGATTCTAGATAGAATCTTAAACTTTAAAACATCAAAAGTCATACTGGACACCAGGCAGCCATCTCTGGACTAGGGTATGTCTGTGCAGATATAGCTGCATGCACCCATATCTCCAGATCCTCTGTACATAAAGAACCAGAGCTAGGCCAGCAGTTTTAAGAAAGCATTGTCTTGTGAATTGCACTGTTTAAATTAGCTTTGACTCTGAACTTCATTAAATCTATTTTAACAAGTCTATATATAACTGAGTGATTAGAAAATCAGTTCTACTTTTGTTCTCTCATACTCCAATGAAGTTTAGGCCTATTATTGACATTGTTTCCATATAACAGTGTAAACAGATACAAATTCTCTTACTTTAATTCTTTACTAATATATTGTTTTCGCAAATGTAGTTATTTTTCAAGAAATTTACTTTTTGAATTGTTATTGTAATAAAGGCAGTATACAACATTTTCCAAAGAATTAATTTAGTGTGTAGATAATTATGATGAAACTTAGCCTAACCTATAAATAATTAAGCTCTTTTTCTCTACCTAGTACAGTAAGAATAGGAATTTTTTGGTTTATGTTTTACTAGAGGCCCAGTGCATGAAATATGTGCACTGGGTGGGGGTAGTTCACTCAGCCTGGCCTGTGCCTTCTAACAGCCCAGGTCACCTTGGGGGATGTCTGCCTGCCAGCACTCGGACACCCTTCTCTCACAGGTCGGGGCTCTTGAAGTCCAGGACCCCTCGCTCTTTACTGCTTGCAAGCTGTGGAGGCAAGAGAGGTTCCTCCCATTGCTGCTGCGCTCACCAGCCTTGAGCCTGGCTTCTGGCTGAGCAGGATTGCGGGGGATGGAATGGGGGAGGGAGGAGGACATGCCGTAGGAGCGCTGCTCAACCAGAAGCCTGAATCCCTGCTCCCTATCACTGGCCCTGTTCCCCACCCACTGGTGGTGGTGGGGAGATTGGGGGCCAGGCTTGCCAGGGGAGAGGTCATGGAAGGTTGAAGCGCCATCGTTGCACTCTGTCCCTACTCTGTGGAGGCGTCAGGACTGTGCCGTCCCCCCTCCCACCCGCCTCTGCGGAAGTTGCAGGACTGGGACCACGCAGCTCCCTCTCCTGCCATCTCTGTGGAAGGGGGAGCCAGGACCACCATAGCTGTCTTGGCGGTGCAGGCTTGCTGGCCCTGTCCCGCTCACTTGTTGTTCCAGAAGGTGGTTCTGGAAGGTCATTCCACTGTCCAGTCTAATTAGCATATTAGCTCTTTATTATATAGGATAATTTTTTTTTGCTGGTCTTTTGTTTTTTGGTTAATCCTCTCCTGAGGATATTTTTTCATTGATTTTTAGGGAGAGTGGGAGAGAGAGGGAAAGACAGAGAGAAACAATGATGTGAGAGAAACACATTGATTGGTAGCCACCTGCACAAGCCCTGACCAGGGCCCGGGCCAGGAAGGAGCCTGCAACCAAAGTACGTGCCCTTGAACAGAATTGAACCTAGGACCTTTGGTCCACAGGCCAATCAATGCTCTACCCACCAAGCCAAACTGGCTAGCATTGCTGAGTTTTATTTTTACCTTCTAAAACTGATGGAGAGTTAAAGAAGATAAGTTGTATCTATATATGTAAAAGCCCAGCTACCAGAACGACCAGTTGCTATGACACAGACTGCAGCAGTCAGGTGGCCCAATCCGGGCCCCAATTGGCCCTTCCAACCTCCTGTAGCCCCTCCCCTGGCTGGCTCCACCCTTGGTCAACCCCTCCAGCCCCAATCGGCCCCTGTAGGGGTGGGCTGGCCAGACCCCACCCATGTACAAATTTCTGCACCAGGCCTCTAGTATTCTTTATAAAATAGTGAATGTGAATTAGGGTAACTTGGGAATGTCTTGACATATATACCAAAGAATGTACAATTTGTGATCAGTCTTAGTTGTAAAAATGGAACGTATTGTTTGGTTTTTCACTTTGAGAAAGTCTGTGTTAAGTTTGATTCCTCATATGTTACTCTTAAACCATAATAAAGTCAGAATAACTGAATTTATACTGTGATTTTTATATATCAGATTAATATATTTTGAGTGTGAGCTGGAAAAACTTTTTTCAAAAGGTTTTTATTTTATGAAATGCATAATATCTGTTTGTTTTAAGCCATGAAAGTGTCTAGCATCGATTCTTCAGAACAGAAAAAAACTAAGAAAAACTTAAAGAAGTTTCTTACACGGCGCCCCACTTTACAAGCTGTACGTGAAAAAGGTTATATTAAAGGTAGGTAGAAGTATGAAATCAGAAATAAGACATTTTAAATTAAAAACTAAAAGTTTTCCAAAATAAAAATTTTCTTATTCCTTTTTCTTACACATAAAGTTTTTAGGTTCAGTGATTAAAATACATTTGAGTAATTAGAATTGATTTTTAAAATCCACATGAAGAGTTTATTTTAACTAAAGCATTGAGCAGACATAAATACCAAACTTAAGTTTTTAGCAACTCTATACTAGAAAAACTACACAAGTATGATCATATGGGTGGCACATTTTTGTTTATTATTTAAAAATACATATATTTTTATTTCAGAGAGAAAGAGAGAGGGACAGAGAAAGAGAGAGAAACATCAATGATGAGAGTGAATCATTGATCAGCTGCTTCCTGTAAGCCCCACACTGGGTATTAAGTCTGCAATCTGGGCATGAACCGTGATCTCACCTGAGTAACACCCACTGGGCACATGGCACATTTTTAGAATACATGATTTTCAGTTTTGAAATGTACAGATCAGAAGAAATTTTGAATAGACAATCATTAGCACAGTAGAAAGAAGAAAAAAAAAATAGTGAACAAGCAATTTTATTTTAATTTATCTTCAGTTCTCATTTAAGATAATTTAAAAATTAGTATATTTGTTATTTCATTAAAAGAACCGTAATGCAGGATCTTGTCCTTGTAAGAAAGCATTCTTTTAAAATCATATAATAAGACTTAAACAATATAAAGTATTTCCAAAGGTAATTAAACTCTTTTTTTTAAGAGTTTAGAACCTTAAAAAAAAACAAAACCTCAAAAATAAATGAATTGAAGCAGCCACTAATTTGTTCACCAGGCCTTTTCACTGAGAAATATAAACTCTTGCCATTTTATGTTGTTACTCACTACTTCAGGTATTTTGTTTGTTTTCATGAATGCTTAGCACAAGTGTTGGCATTTCAAAGCTTTTGGGCTGAAAGATTAATAGAAGTCTTTGAAATATATTTTGTGAAATCAAGTATTGGCTCATGATGGGCATTCACCTACTAGTTTTAATACTTGAGTATGTACCAAGTGCCAAGAGTTCAGTTGTGAGGTCCTTGCCCTCACAAAACTTATATATAAAAGTGAGAGATGGACAACATAATTTAAAAGAGTAATGCCTACGAATAATCTAACATCGTAATAAAATAGTGACTGGAAGTGGGTTATGATAGATAGGATGTTCAGAGGGTTTTCTATGGCGATGACATTTAGCTGAGACCAGAATTGATGAGATGAGGAGGAGCTGAATTTAGGGGAATATTGATCTCTACTGATGGTATAGAAAGTAATAAAGGTCTCAAGCAAATATAAGTGAGGTGTTCATGGAATTTAGTAAAGAAGGAAAATTGTTTGAAATGAAATTGGAAGGGATAAGCAGAGTGCAAATCATATAGAGTATAAATCATGGTAAGCAATTCTGGATGCACTCAGTGGCTTTATTGCACTATGAAATGGTTTAACTGTTTTGTGAACTAAATTTTAGCAAAGTGATTCTTTTTGAAAAAATGATCTCTTTCAGATCAGGTATTTGGAGCCAATCTTGCTAATCTGTGTCAGAGAGAGAATGACACAGTGCCAAAATTTGTGAAATTATGCATCGAACATGTTGAAGAATATGGTAAGAAAATAATTTTTTTTTAAATGTTAAGCATACCAACCTATTGTTTTGCCATCAAAATCACTAGGGTTTTTATGATTTTGAGTGATGAAACCAAAAGTTCTTCATAGTTGAAAGATGTTAAGAAAAGCATCTTATTTGCAAAGAACTTACGTGTTTGTATCTGTTTTAAATTAAGACCTTTGTGGGCATCCATTAAAATGTTCAGTGCTTATGATTGCTTAGCATCTGGTGTTCTTTGAAGCTATTTAGAGTTGGCATTTGCTTAAAATAAAGTTTGTGATTTTGAAACTGATTTTTTACAATATATATATTTTTTTGGCTTCAGAGAGGAAGGGAGAGGAAGAGAGAGATAGAAACATCAATGATGAGAGAGAATCATTGACTGTCTGCCTCCCACATGCCCCTCCCACTGGGGATTGAGCCTGCAACCCGGGCATGTACCCTGACCCGAGAATCAAACTAGTGACCTCTTATTATAGTTCCTGGGTTGATGCTCAACCGCTGAGCTATACCCGGCTGGACTTGAAACTGATTTTATTAAATGATTTGACAATGTAGAAGATATGAAGAGATTATGTTTACTTACTAAGAGAAAATTTTTTGTTTATAATAAAAATGAGATATTTTAAAACTTAAATGATTGAACTATAAAGTTATCTAATCTATTTTTACTGTAAAATAAGAGACAAACTAATGTCTATTTTGATTAATTTTAACATAATATTTATACTAGTTTTATATAAATTAACAGTATCTTGACTAACCACATTATTATATCTGTATATCTTCAAAAATATCTTGTACAATTAAATATTTTCATAATTCATAATTTCTGCTAGTTCAGATCTCATCTCTTTGATTTTCTTTGAATAGCTTTTTTTAAAAAAAAATGTGTACAGCATTATTAAATATTTAATGAATATTTGAATTTTTAGGCTTAATTGGGTGAATTTCAAATGATTCTATCCCAGATATAAAATAAGTTACTAAATTATCAAATTATCAATTATTTTTATTAAACCATTATTTTAGTTGTTAGCTTGTACTAAGTTTGCCACAAGCACATATTAATATGGCAAACATTTTTAGAGTACTTATGGCATTTACATTATAAGATGACATAGAAAGATGAGTGGGCTAATTTTATTAGCTTTCTTTACTTGTAGAACTATTCCCAGGTGTGTGTAGAAGTTTATCTTAAATTGTTAGTATTTCAAATTGAATGAAATGATTTCCTTGAGATGATTCACAGTTTACATGATAAAATGTAGTTGTTGCTGTTTATTAAAATAAAATTCAGAGTGAATCTCCACCCTTTCTCTGCCAACTATTTATAGACAAAGTCATTCATACTAATGTTAATAAGAATTCTTTAGGAGAGGCAAACAAGTACTTTAAACCTAAAAATATTATTTGTTTCTTAGGTTTGGATGTTGATGGGATATACAGAGTAAGTGGCAACCTTGCAGTGATTCAGAAACTGAGATTTGCAGTCAATCATGGTAAGATCATAGTCCCTATTGTTATATCCAAAAGAATTGCTCAAAGCTGTTAGAATTTAAAGTAATTTAAAATTGTTCTATTTTAACTGTTTTTCCAGATGAAAAATTGAACTTGAATGATAGTAAATGGGAAGATATTCATGTCATCACTGGAGCACTCAAAATGTTTTTTCGAGAATTACCAGAACCACTTTTTACATTTAATCACTTTAATGATTTTGTGAATGCAATAAGTAAGTATGTAATTAAACTCTCTTTTTTTTCTATATGCTGAAAATCCTCTATACAAATTAAGTCACTGCATTCTGAAGTTTTTTGTTTTTTTTTTTAAATGATTTGCTACAGAAATTATAAATGTGGCCACCAGATGTCACTGTGTATCACCAAATAACAAGTTCCAAACTATGTCACTGCTTTTCAGTTTCAGTTCTACTTACTATTTTTTTTTTCAGAACAAGAACCAAGACAGCGAGTCACTGCTGTTAAGGACCTAATCAAACAGTTGCCAAAGCCAAATCAAGATACAATGCAGCTACTTTTTAGACATCTCAAAAGGTAAAAGTCTTGGCACAAAAGAGAAATAGTAATTAGGAAAACAAAAAGTAGAAGAACTGCATAGTTATGAAACATGGTTAGTATACCCAAGAGGCTTAGATACCAGCTATGATGTTTACTGTCTTTGCAACCCGATAAAGAGCTCCTTAAGCCTCAATTCCTCATAGGCAATAGGATTTGGTATAAAGATTGCATTAAAATAGATATCATGTGTGAAGTAATGCCTAGCAAGGGTGTGGTTGGTGTTAAAAATTGTTAAATTTAATTAATATGAAGATGAGATTGGTTATTAAATGAGGACTGTTAAATCACCTTAAAATAAAGTTATCATTGCTCTAAGTTACTACATGGCTATCTTAATAACTGATTTTTTTCCTTCTGAAAGAACAACCACTAGAATACTAAACTAAATGACTCAGTGAGAGATTTAAGAAACAACAACACATAAAGTGAGCAAAATTGAAAGTTTAAGCTCTGTGCTCTAATGAAATTTACCCCCCTCAATCTAGTATAGTAATCTTTGTCACCTGTATTGTAAGTCATATTTAAGTTTGTCTTATATTAAATGCTAAGCTAAAATACCACATTTAAGTTTATTAGAATATATTTAATTAAACTTTCCAGCTGTATTTATCCAGAAGAGAGTTTCACATGATATTTGGACTGAATTTTACTTGGCTAAATAATTTATATGTACCTTCAGAAAATGAAAATTATTTCTAATTTTTAAATGCAAACCAACTGTTTATGTTTATAATACAGTTGGAAGAATTTACCTCTTTTTCTAAGATTTTCTCTATTAACAATTTATCTTTTCCCCCTTAGAGTTATAGAAAATGGAGAAAAAAACCGGATGACCTATCAGAGTATAGCAATTGTTTTTGGTCCTACCTTATTAAAGCCAGAGAAAGAGACTGGTAATATCGCAATTCATACTGTCTACCAAAACCAGATTGTAGAATTAATTCTTCTGGAAATAAATTCCATCTTCGGACGTTGATTTCATATTGATGACAACCTGTAGCATAGGAACCGGATTTCATCAGATTTTAAATCCTTATACATGTTGTATTTTGTTTTTGGACCAAGCAGTGACTCTTTGATTTTGCACTTTTTTGAGGGAACAGAGGGACTGGAAGAGTCAAAATGGGTAGTAGGCCCTCATATTTGCTGCTTTGTTGCAAGGTGATAAAACTGTGTTTAATTTTATCCTGAATTGTTTGCATTCCATACTCTGAATTTCAGTAAAAATAAAAAGTTGCAAATCTAACCAGTCATATACACTGAATAATTTGGTAAGAAAACTACATTTTTTTTCTCAAACTGGATAATGTAGATCATCTTCTTGTTAGGTTTATTAATTGATAGAACAACAGTTACTATCAGTTATTTGGAAATCTCTCCTGGGCATTTTAAACAAAGTGAAGTATATCTGTTTTGATACCTGTGTATTTCTTCATCAAGGTTTTTGCATGTAGTGCAGTCTAAGTGCTGAAATTTATAATTTATAACCCAGATATAATTCCTTGACAGAGGCTTTATCTTTTTGCTGTATTGCACAGCATCCTTATGGGATATCTTAGTTGCTTGTTTGGGCAGCACACTAATATTACATAAAACACTGTGATATACTGGAGTTTAATTTAGCATAGGCCAGTTCAGGGTATTTTGGAGCTGTCTGTGCTACACTGATTTAGCTAGTGCCATACTGACTTCTTGGTATGATCCTGTGGAAACACGTTATTTTATGTAAATATAGGCTGAAGACTTAATGTCCTTCAGCTTATGTATAAAGTTGTGTTGTATAGCCTCAGAGTATATTCTAAGCCAACATTTCTAATCATGATATTGGTGATCTTTTCTGTGAATACTAGGTCTCCTCCCAAAATAGGTTGTTATTTGATAAAATTAACTACGCACTTTTAGGTTTTAATTACACTTACAGGCAAATCACTGTATTGCAAATGGTACTGGAAAAATACTGATTAGACTTGCTAAATGGTAAATGCACTACAAGAAGAGCCTTTAGGTTATTTAATATGTACAGAATACATTAGAAAACAATTTATTGCCGAATTCTAACTGCAGTATGATAGTGGAAACCTATATGTAAATTAGATGAATGTCAGAAAATGACATTGCTAAATTTGAGAATTTCTTCTTATATTACTAATGTAGATTAATTTGTATAATAAAACAGGGTTTGGAAGGTTTTGTTACAGAGAGCATGGTTTGTTGAAGATTTTTTAAAATGTATTTTTTTAGATTAACTGCTGTATATGAAATGTCTAATCTGAATAAAGAAAACTATAAGAGGTTTAGAAATTTTTTTTCCCATTAGAGATGTTTATTTTGTTTTTTTAATATTTTGTTTTTGCATATGCTGGTATACCTCATTTAAAAATCAACTGAATCTAATATTTTCTGTGGCAAATATATTTTCCTCATTTTACATCTTTTCTACTTGCTCCATGCCAGTACATCCTCCCTGCCTCCATTTTTTATTCATCAAAATTTGAAAGTGAATGATTTGTAACCAGGTCTCTTTTTCTTAGAAATTAATTTATAATTTATAGCTTGCCTTCCTTCGGAACAAATGTTTTGTATGATGTGTTTAAAAACCTCTCACCTGAGTTTTGTGGTAAGACGTTTGTTTGTTTGTTGTTGTGGTCTTGTTAAATTGATGACAAGCCAAATTACTTGATAGCTAGGGAAGGTAAATTGTTTTGGGCAGGGAGAATAAACCCTCAAGTGAGAATGTTAACATTTGCCTAAAGATATCCTAATAATACCACATGATTTAGGACTGGCATATATAGTGATGGTGTGCCAGGAAAACAATCAAAGTCCAATCAGTAATGTTCTTTCTCTCAGTCTTTATGGACATATCAGTGATTAATATTGTCCTGTGTTTCTTTTGTCAAAGTGTGTGTGTGTAAAGTCTTAAATGTTAAGTCTGTACCTTATCAATTTATTGTAATATTGTATGTACAGTAATATCAGTGTCCTGTGGTTTTCATCCTTTGTGAATTAAAATTTCTCACTTGTTTTTTGTAATAACAAAACCAGTAATTTTTTTTGTTTGTTTCAACAGCTTGAATTTTGGTAGAAAATATAATAAAGGCTGAAATAAATTGTCAGTGAAATTTCATTTACTAAAGTTACTTCAGCATGTCATAAAAAAAAGTAGGTGGAAATTGAAAGACAAATATATTCAGTATGGGATTACATTCCAGCTAAAAGAAAAATATTCAAAATTTAAAGCAATAGGAAGCTTTACCTTTTACTTGAAAAAGTTAAGTATGACATATTAAAAATAATTATATTTTACAGACAGGCAAATCTATAGATAATTTTTTCTTATGTGAAAAGTATAAATGGAATAATTCAGCCAAACTTGAGGCTTAGGCAGACGTTATATACATATTCATACACTATGTGTATATAAATACGTGTGTGTGTGCCATTGTTTTCATACAAATGAAGATTCATCAATAATAGTATGGGCAGAGACCTGGAGACTGTTATACTATTATATGTTAGTTTCATCACACAATTTTTTGTAAGCCCGTAAAACTAGATATTAGATAGCAGCAGTGAGAGTGGAAAAAATGTTATTCCAAATTATGCCAAGAGATTTGTTTTTCAGCTCATGGAAGAGGCTTCTAATTAAATATTTAAAGTAAACATATAGTTTCCCATGACACTAATTTCTGCAACATCTTTATGCATTAAAAAAATACACACACAAAAAATACCACACATCATTTCAATAAAGAAGAAAATAAAAATAGTCAAATGGGTGTCATGCTCTCATGGTGTAATAACAGTCAGATGCTCAAATATTGCATCTAAACATAGAATTAAAAATGGGTAGAAAGTAAGATTTCATGTAGTTTACTGGTCTCTGAACTCCAACCATTAGCTTTAATGATCCTCTTTTACAGAAAGCACTTCTCTGGTGCAATCTAGAAAAGTGTTAAATAGGGACTTTAGCAGCCCATATGTTACAGTCTTGGCAGAGGGGCAGAGTTTTTTTTAAAAACAGTATTCCAATATAACAGTATTCCAATATAACTAACAGTCCTATTAAATGCAGCTTTAGTGTGAAACAAACGAACAAAAATGGTAAAGGGTGCTGCAAAACAAAAGCAACACTCGTACAATAATGACAAGTTGAAATCTATTGGAAATGCACAAGCTATAAACCCAGGCCAGGCAGTCAGACTTTGTATTCTAGAGAAGGGGGAAGTACTGAATGCCTAATGAGACATTCTGTAACTACTAAAGACAAGGCACTTCTCCTGGGGAATCTCAATTAGTCGTCTCAACTGAAGTTTTGTGGATCAGTGGTGGCTGTAAATATATTCAGCTGGATTGAACTTTTATAAATTAGCTTTATGTGAATATAGCACTTAAATGAACTCTTTCATTTCCTTCATTGCTTCCCTTCTCTCACAGGGGGGAAAAAAAGGAAGAAAAGAGCACTTTCATGGTAGTCTCATAAACAGAGCACTTGTAGAACAAGGCAACCGTTTAACAAACCACTACCATATGGATTTAGAAGTCTGGTTCCTCACTTTTTCTCACCAGCTCCCCGCCTCCCTTTATTTTACTTCCTTTCAATGTTTTTAGAAGAGAAGTTTTGGTTAAGATTTTTAATTATTAATTCTGGTAGCCAAATCTTTTACATGGTTCTAATGCTTGTACTCACACTGCAATTAGCACTGAAACTTGTAACATTGTCATGGACCTTTTAATGCTGATGAAATCTATACTGCCATCAGAATGACCAGTGATGCTATGTAGAAGTTCTTATTAGTGGGGCCTTTGCAGAGGGAAAAATAAAAACCACTGTGATGTCATGATAGAGTACCTAGTGGAGATTCAGCATGGCATTTAAGACTACCTTTCTTTTAGGCATTTTGAGAGATTATTTATATATTTAATCAAGATGTTACAGATAAGCTTCCAGGCGATGCATGAGAATTAATCAGTTAGACACTCAAGAGGATATTTTCAGAAAAGTATCCTTTATTGCAGATTGCACTAGTGCCATGACTCAGGGGAGTCAATGTCCAAACCCTGAGTGATGTATATGGATGAAGATTTTCCTTTATACCCTTTAGCTCCTTTGTCCCCAAATATGGATCAGCCTTCCAGACCCATCGTGGGCTTTGCAGCCCCCCATGAGTTGGGATGGGGGAAATGAGACCACACCCAGAGGACTGCCAGCACTGGCACCAGTCCCTTCAGAGATTGTATATGTTTCATGGTTTATGGCCTCTGTAAAATGGGAGTATTCCAGGAAACAGGTTCTGAAAGGCAGCACAGGCATCACAGTAAGAATGGAGTTTGATAAGAATTGAGTTTGATAAGAATGGAATTTATCGGCAAGCAAGAGTGCGTCAGAAGGCAGGTTACTGGCACAGATTCAGATAGCCAGCCCCCCAAATGTTTTATTTTTCCCTTCAAAGAGAAATAGGAATCTTAGATACTGAGGTAAAAACAGTCTCATCAATTGATAAAGCCGGATCAATAGGGACCCTCACATTCACAGTTTTGTTTTATGGAGGTCCAGAATTATTGTGAATGGTTAAGGCCATTTGGTCAGTTAGTGGCACAAGATGATAAGTTTAAGGCTGAAAGGGTAGAAGTATCTTAATTATGTTATTGCTATTTTAAGTTTGTGATCAATTTAAGTAAAGCATATTCTGGCATGTTCAAATAATATTTGGGAAAGAAACAAGTAACTTGTCTACATTATTGGCATCTGTTTTTAAGCTAATTTTTACTTGTGTGGTATATTAAACTTCTATTATAAAAATATATTATGTACATCTATAATGAGGTTGACAGAGGTTTGGTATTGCTTTCTGCTTTAGTTCTATTTGTATAGATAGTAAGCCAGCATTCTTCTCCCTCCCCTGGCAAATAATCAGACTTATGTGATTCTATTTCCACCCATTGACATTTCTGGGCAGGCCTTTGTGTACGTTA